CGCACGCCCGCAAGCACGCGCAAACGCACGCACTTACGCACGCATGCAGGCATGCGCAGCCACACACGCACACGCGTGCACTCGCGCGTACACACACACACACGCACAGCTGAGCGCGCGCACACACACACACACATGCGTGCGCAAACACGCGTGCGCGCACACGTGTGGAGACACGCGCGCACGCTCACCCACCCACGCACGCACGCGCACACACACACACACTCACACGCAATGCCACACACGGACAGACTGACAGACAGACGGACGGACGGACGGACGGACGGACGGAAAGACAGAGACACACACACAACAAACACACACACACACACGCAAAACATCCGAGCAAGCATGCGCGCGCGCGAAAACATTCGTTGAATGCACACACACACGGACATGGAGACCTACAAAGACGCGAAAACCCCAAACGTGTCACACGCGAACAGGCGCACGCGCACACACACACACACACAAACGCGCACGCGCACGCGCACACACACACACGCCCAGACCGACACACACACACACACACAGACACACACACCCACAGACACGCGTGCGCACATACACGCTCAACGCAACAACACCATGCACTCATACACGCGCTCGACCAGGTGCCCGCGCACACACACACACACACGCACGCTTCACGCGCGCGTGCACGCACTCGCGCCCGCACTCGCGCTCGCAAGCAAGCGCGCGCGCGCACGCACGCACGCACGCACGCACACGCGCGCAACACACCACACGCAGCACAAAACACACAGCACGCCACGTTCGACGCGCAACACACACAACACACAAGACACAACACGCCACATGCAACACACAAACACGCAACACACAAGACACAACACACAGTACACAACACACAACAGGACACACGCACACAAAACACCAAAACACACAAAAGCTCAGAACGCACAAGCACAATCACACGCACACACACACACAAACGCACAAAAGCGAACAAAGACACACACACACACCCACACCCACACCCACCCACACACGCGCGCGCACGCACACGCACACGCGCACGCACGCGCGCTCGCAAGCAAAAACGCGCATGCCCGTGGACATGCCCACGCGCGCGCCGCGCGCCCGTGCGCCCGCACACGCACGCGCGCGCGCGTACACGCCCGCCCGCGCGCACAGGCACACTCGTGCACGCGCGGACGCACAGACACGCGCGTACGCACACACGCACACACACGTACACAAGCGCACTCGCGCGCGCACACACACACACACGCACACGCGCACAGACGCACACACGCACACGCACACGCCCACGCGCGCGCGCGCGCACGCGCACGCGCACACGTGCGCACGCGCACGCGCACGCACACGGACACGCGCACGCGCACGTGCACACGGGCACACGTGCACACGTGCACACGTGCACACGTGCATACTGGACACGTGCACACGTGCACACGCACACGCACACGCACACCCACGCACACCCACCCACACACACACACACACACACGCAAATACATACATGCACACATGCACACTGCACCCATGGACACAGGCACATGCACTCTTGCACACATGGACACAGGCACAGAGCACACATGCACACAGCCACACACGCACCAATGCACACATGCACACAGCCACACATGCACGCATGCACACATGCACACATGCACACATGCACACATGCACACCCACACACGTACACCTCTACACATACACACGCACTCTGTGCACACACACACACACCCACACCCACACGCACATATGAAGACATGGCATGGTTTGCAGCCAGGATTTCCTTGCATGGTGCTATTGGAGGTCGATGCTGGTGTATTTGTATTATTCGAGGCTTGTGCAGATCAAGCGCTTTGCCTTCCAGACGTGTGCCTGGCCCGGTTACACTGGGGGCGCAGGCGGTTCAGGGTTCCGAGGCCGTGAGGGCCTAACAGATTGACAAACCATGTTTCCTTGGGTTGGCTGGATCATTTCAGAGCTTATGGTCATTGCATCATCGTCATAACGCCTGGCTACTTGGTGTTTGGAGAAGTTGCGTGAGGAATGCCCAAGCCTCAAATTCGGAATTCCAGTACCATTCCTGAGAACAGAAGCACCACCATATCCCCACAGCCCCACGCCAAGTTTACCTGTGAATCTTGTGGCAAAGATGGCCTGCTGGCGCCACTGCCAAGGATGAGCAGCGCAACATCTCAATATTTTTGCTGTGAGCCAGGATGAGGATCGCGTACCGCACGAGGCGGCACTCCTGGCTTCATGTGTTGCTTTTACATTTGTGAAAAGTCCTCCAGGACCTCACAAGCCTGCTAGTGGAAGGGGCAACGTCAGCACCAGCCCTGAGCTCCTTCATTACGAGAGAGTACCAGGTCGGTCAGGATTCCTTGGAAGACTCATTTTTACGCAGGACATCGCGATTACTTGCCGAAAATCGGATCTCCGTTTGAGTTCGAGATGTTTCCTTTGGGAAGCCCTGCTAGAGAACGTGGCAGGCCCAGGGACACCTGAGCCAAAGACCCAGGTCACAGAATTGTGCGCCAAGGGGTCATCAGTGCGGATCCCAGCGGAAAGATGCCGCCATGTGTCATGTCCATTCGAAGCGTGCCGCGTAGAATAGACATCATCGTTTACCTTTCAACGAAGGATGATTTGGCCGATGGCATCCTCGGTTTGAGGCGGTCCTTCTTGGTGTCCTTCTCCTGGTGGCTGTGGTTGGCTTAGGCTCCCGTTCCATCATTTCAGTCTTGGTCACTGCCAACTTCCAAGGCTGCCTTGCTCCTTTGCATCCGGCTTGCTTGGTCAGCTGAAAGCTGAGACAGATGCAGATATGAGTGGTGCACATTGAGGGCTACCACATCTCAACACAACCACAGACAGACATCATCTCACACAGTGTGATTCGTTGTTGTTTTTCGCGTCACGCTGCCCGCCTCGGCCAGGCTCAAAAGAACCGTAAGAGCAATTTCTGGGCTTGAGCAAAGGATGCCGGGACAGGGCTGAGCAGTAGTGGAGCACAAAGTGATTGGGACCTGAACTCGAGCGGCCACCAGCAGCGAGGTGGCTGGAGTGAGAAGGACTGAAGCTGGCCGCGGCACCGGGCTGACCTGCAAGGGAGTGTGCGGGAGGTCTGGGGGCTGCGTGGGGCTTGGGGTTGGGGACTTGCCGCGGGAGGTTGGGATGGGAGTTGGAAGGAACATAAGCGCGACAAACGTTTATCTGAGGGCTTGGGGGCCCTTCTTGAGATTCAGTCCCAGCCTACGTTCAGCTCTCAGCGGAGTCCCAAGTTCAGCTGGGCTGCGTCTTGGGCGCCAAAGCAGCAGTTTCCAGCCTCCCAGCGCTGTGTGGGGTAAAGAATTCCGGCCACCAAAAGCGCTGGTGAATCTTGGGCCACTCACTGCGCCATCTAGACTCGGCCCATTGCAAACACTGAAGCTGATCATTTGGAGTTCGTCGCAGACCCATAGTTTTCATGAACCAACTGCTGCAGGTCCGGCTGTGCGACTTAGATCCGGCATGGCGGGTTTAACTTTGGCAGCTTGCCTTTCCCATTGATCTGGGCACAGGTACAACGAGCCCAGCCGGTAGGGGCTTTTGCGCGAGCTCGACCGTTCTGCTTCGAAAGGTCTATTCATTTCCTTGTGCGAAGTATACTGAGCTGCGGTTCTCGTCGCAAATGAACACCCAACTTCAATCTTCCAGCTCCGAATGGCCCACACTGAGCAGAAAGGTGCCGTGTTGGCGCACTGACTCAACCATCAAACAATTGGCGCCCAACAGAGTTTGTAGCTTGACACCCGCAGCGAGCGACAAGCTCTTGGCCTTGAATCTGGAAAATTGGGAAACAGGCAGGAACACGTTGGGAAACTGGTGGGAGAAGGTTTGGAAGGCTCGGAACCGTGTTGTTTTTGTGGTTGTTGACGGGAGAAACGTGTGGTTGTGGTAAGCTAGGACATTTTAGTTCTGTGTGGGATGCTATGGGTATCTGGGGGTGAACAAACAAATGACCTCACCTGATAAGCTGTGCAAACAGATGGGCCGCGCTGGGAGACTGGGGGTGGGGAGGCTGCTGCTTGATGTCTTATGCTTAGTTGTTTTTGCTGGGCTTTTCCTAGCTTTTCATGGCTTTAGCTAGCTTTTGCAAGGGTCCTTGGTTTTGTATGGGGACTGCTTGTATTGCAAGAGATACTGTTTGAAGCGATGTCTTTAGTGACTCTATGAATCTAAGCTGTTGCCACTCGTATGGTAGAGAAGCAAGCTAACTACAGAGAAGCGAGCTACATGGAGTGAACTTCCCCTGTGGCATGGCCTGCAGATGTTCTTCACAATGAAGGTGCAAGTGCCTTGGTACGGCACACCTACGCGCGCTACCCGTCCAGGATGTCACAAATCACACAACGTCAGATCATCTAGGCTCATTTCAGGCCAGCTTGAGGTTAAGATTTTGTCGCCGGGTTTCAACGGATTGATCCAAGCTCCACGTTCTACGTTGTGGCCATCTCCAAGGCCTACGCTGCCGATATTTCAGCCTTCTACGCTGAAGCGGCCACTGGGGCCAGCGGAGGAGCGGTCTTTTCCCTCCGCTTTCGGCTTTCGCGGGATCGATCTCGACATTCCGAGGAGCTGAGACTTGGCCTGCTCCCAGCGGCCTCCTTGGAGTGGAGAAAAAACCCACGTGAGGGAAAAAGAAGCAATCTAGAGGGCTGCTCATGGGGGCATGGTGGGAGTACGACGTGAGCAGCCTGTGCACATCGTTTGCTTGCTCAATAGTGAGGATGCATTTCAGGTCCAAAATCTGATCGCCCTGCAGAACAACCTAATATCCTCACTCGCTCACATGTTGAAACCAGTGACAAGGTGCTACGTCCTCCGGATTCGGAAACAGCATAGGCGATGTTTAAGCCTTTGAGAGCAGACGCATGGACGGGGTGCAGAATTGTAGCACACCAGCTCTTTCACAATGCTACAAAGCAGCAGCAAGCCGTCCCACAAACGCGTTCACA